AAAAAGCAAAGCCACCCTCTGTAGGCACTTGTAATACAGTTTAAACATGGACAAGAGAAATGCGCCACATGAAACTCCAAAGGCATGTGATGAGCACAATACTAAACTATGAAGCACCTTATTCCTGGTGTCCGCTTCAGACGGCCCGGCCTTCATACTGTTTCTCAAAAGTCTAGGACAACGGACTCCAACTCTAAAGTCACTATGTTTTTTTCCCGATCCGATATGCAAATTATGTCCGCGGATCAGCTCAACATCGAAATCCTATTCAGTACAAGTGAACTATCGTTTTTTACCACCTAGAGATGCAAAATCTAGAAGGCCATTCGTCGCAGACCACAATCTTCCCAAAACTGACGGCTCCAACTGGAATTACATCCAGAAATGTCAGTAATAAGTGCTGTTTGCACACAAATATTCTGGTTCCTCGACCTTTGGCGGCCACCCACCGGGAAATAAGGGTAACCGAAAGTGGCCCCATGTGAATCGTAGACCTCGGCGTCTTATTGAATGGTTCAATGATATAACCCTATACATCCTTCCCTGTAACGCGACATTAGTAGCTGGATAGTATTGCACCTTTGGCCCAACTGATTCAAATGAGTCTGCTTGGAACATCCCGGACCTAAGCAAGCGCTACATTCTGTACGACGCCATACAATACTAGACTTAGATTCCCCCGGCCCACCTCGGTATTTAACTCTAGTTTTCCACGTTATCTGCAGACAACACAAATTCATTACACACACGCACTTTTGGCTTTACTTGTGTTTAGCACTCGATGTGCAGTGCACTCTTACTTATTATATGACTCACTATTGACAGGATGCTGCCCATACTGAGTGATTATATCCGTATTAATTTTCACTCCTGCTGTTTAATGACATGAATTTTGCCCAGTACTTGTGACCAGCTATGTCCAAACAATTGCCTAAACCGAAAGACTTTGTACGGTGAGATGACTTATTCTTTCCTAGAATGGTGGATATAATTTGAATTTCTTCATTTCGACAGCAAAACCCTTAAAAATTGTAGCCACTGATAGACATAGTCATCTGAAAGAGTAAGATGAAGTTTTCCTTTACTATATTACACATGCAACTGACACGCCTATTGGATTCGATCATGAGTATTTGGAACGAAAATCTCTAATTTGAAGAGGTGACTGCCTCGAGAAATTCGTATTAAAATGTGTTTTTCTTGGTACGGGGATGAGATGTCATTCCTTTGGGCCCCGCTTGCCCTGAAATGACACCCCTTGCTTCTGGTCTCTTGCTTGATGCAAATTCTGTTTCAGATCACTGGAGGCCTTGATTTAACAGGTTGTTGACTGCCTGGTCCCCAGGAATCTCCCAAACAGTACTATGGACAGTATAATGGGTTTAGTGTTTGGTGATCCCACGGGCAGTGTCGTGGATGATAAACCAGTCTAACGAATGAAGCTCCTGGTATCTCAGAATGATGAGGTGTTTGAAAGGGGTACAGATGTGCAAGCGAGTCGCCATATGATATTGTGTAAGAATAAAAAGGGGGAAGTTAGAAAATATACACGTGATTTAAGTCAATTCACCATCCGGTCACCCTGGTTCACCCACCTCATCACATAACTCAAATGAAAATGGTGCCCCAGAAACTGTAAAGACATCCCGGACCATCTGGATTGCGCCAACTTGAAAAGATGCCGACGAATAGTAAACCTCTGAGATCAGTGATACTCAAAGGTGTTAGGGAGATATCAAAGTTGTAAGTGATGTATTTGAAGCTGGGGATGAAAGTGGTAGTTTGGAACTCGTGGAAAGGGATGGGTTTTGAGGTGTCCGAGTGACATGGCCACAGCTTGTTCCTTTTCGCACCTGCACTACAACACCCACTAGAGCTTTCTGCATTAATAAACACGGGGGTGTTAAGAATAAGTAAGTGTGAAGCGGATGAAGTTGCTCAGGCATGGCATCTTATAGGGGTTATAGTGAGCACTCTCGAAGTAATCGCAAGGAATGAGCATGGGGTTGGTGATAGGAGTACGGGTAATTGTCCTGACTGGACGCTTAAGAGGGGGAAACAAGAGAGTAGACCGCTGCTCAACTGCAATCCTAGCCATAAAAAGAGGGAAAGACTCTAAAAGCATTGAGTCTTCACATGGCGACCTCAGTTTCTGCAGCCAGTCTAGCAAAACCTTTGGCTCAGAAGTCGGATGAATGCTCAGGTGACAATAAGATATGTTACACTAACCAATGTGGCTTTTGAAATAAACTTTAGTTGAAGGCTAAAAAACTGAAATGGTGGGAATAACGGAAATATAGTTATTGGGGGATGTTAGCCTTGCATTACTTATTCCAGAGTTAACGGGAAGCAGACTGATAGGTTCATGGGTCGGAAGTGTGGTAACATGACCTTATGTGTTCGCGTAGGTATAGCAGCTTGTTCATTGGCATCGCAACTATACAGTGGGGGCGCATGTGGAGTACCGTGTTGGGATATTAAGCCAAAACCATCCATCTTAGTTCTCATTGCCGAGCGGATGAATAAGTGTTCAGACAGCTGCCTAGATGAGGGACCGGTGACTGGTACCTAATAATGGGATACTCAAATGCTTACCCTGCTAGTGTTGATGGAATAACAACTGCTTGTTCATATAGGTCTCTCAATACCAAGCGGCAACCGAGCACTTTAGAGTGTGAGCTAGTGCAAAACGTAGCCAAACCAACGTTCTATGGTCCTGGGCATTTTTCTTCACCATGGATTCCGGTCTACACTTCCCAGTGCGAGGATGTGGATGACCCCCAGTCCCTTCTACCCCAGGCACATGGTGCCCATTTACTTGTTGCATTTAGGTGGAGAGCATACGGCTCGGTTTGTGGGTTGACCTTCTCGGCGTACATAATTGACGACTATTAAGGAAACTGTAGACTCACTGAGCTGTTGTGTCGGCACAAGGTGGATTGTTCCAAAGGCCTTAGAGAAATCTAAAACAGAGTTAAAATGTGTCGCATTTATGATTCCTTGCTCAGTGCTATGAAGGTCTTCCCAAGGACCTTCATGAATGGATAATGAGATTCAGAGGTTGTCAAACAGAAGAAAGAAGCGCTTACTAGATTTAATTTATAATGTGTTGCGTTACGTTTCAGTCCCACAAAGTCCGGAACTATTTTAAAGCTTTCACAGCTTAACGTCGAGTTCACTGCGTAAGACGATTAGTTTCTGACATATCCGGAAAGACTTCGGTCACTTATTAAGTCCAGCACCGCGGAGGAAGATGGACCAACCGCTTTTCTTCGTACACGGAGAATGACAGAAACCTACCGAGTTATTTCGGTAGGTTCTTTTCTGTAGACGGTAATACATAGATATTAAGCACGGCACCCGCTGAGGTCCTCTCAATTGCCCTCGCTTCGGTGGATAGTGAAGTTATGCCTGAACAACTAAATAACATGATAAGTGGTTGGTCACCTTGTTCTAACGGTTCACATCATGAGGCTGTTGATGACCTTGGGTGAATGTGCCCATGGACCAATTTCAGAGATATTTTATCTGCCACTGCCCGGCTCTCGCAACCAGCCACTAACCGTCACCCACCACCCCGACTTGTCTATCTGTCTGACTTTTGAGAAAAATAATGGTAGGAAAATTAAGGAGAATACACGACTGGTTGACACCGTAGAGACACGGCCCCCAACCCGGATGCTGATGCCTACAGAGCTTATTTTTAGCCAGGTGAAAGGAGAAAGCGATTAACTGTCCATGATATTGTTCTTTGGTTTGTGTGGCACTTCAAGAGATATCCCACTGTGGCTTGCTGAGGAAGACCGTAGGTTTCAGTAAGGACTTCTACCTACAGGTGTGGATTAGGGAGCGTCTTTTTGACAGATAGAGAGGGTCAGAGTGAATAAAGCGTTGTCTCGGTAGAAATTGGTTGCTGAAAGCGTTTCTTGAGGGCACTGTGCCAGGGATTTATCCGTTTCTGCTCCGTAGTAGTGAAATGGCTTAGGCGATAATACCTATTTGCAGATAGCTTCAAGGTTTGAAAGGTTGTTTGGAATGATGTAGACAGGCTGGCAGTCAAGACTGACTCAGGTGAATAGACTGAAGGTCTAAATGCTGAGGACCGGACCTCTAGGTGATCCACCGGAGAAATATTTCGGTATCTATGTCGTACACGATAACAAATCTGGAAAACTGAGTGCAGGCAGCTGGTGTATTGGTCACTGGAAAACAAACAATTTCGTATTGTTCGGTCCCAAGTGCTGAACTGATTCTATTGCACTGGTTACCAAACCAGAAAACTTGTCACCTGCTTCCTCTGACAAATGTTAGTTGGATAAAGGTAATGGGCAGGAAGTCAAATAACTCGGTGGTAATCTAAGTGACTGTGACAACGGGTGATGCGGGCTGGAAGTTGAGGGTAAACATCAGTTCCTTAGGGGGTGCAGACACGCCTCATAGGGGTGCAAACAAGGTTGAAGCCTAGGTTCAGGAATGCTCGCCAATTGCTTCAAGCAACCAACAAGAAGCAAGCTTTCTAGAGTGCACACAGAGTGGGTAGTAAGTTAGTGACGGGAATTATACGCTTGCCCTATGAAATGCAGCCGGAAGGCCTGAATCATTTACCGCTGTCGTATAGAGGTAAAAAGGAAGATCTTGTATTACCGAAGCGAATCTTGACTAAACACTTGGGCATTCACCTCTTTAAAGTTTCTACTGCTTTTACGGCTGATTGCTTATGAAGTCATTACAGTGTCTGAAAAGCATTGGCAACTGACCTTCAAAAAGTAGAACTGGCATTCTCTTACATGGTGGTCAACTACTGAAACCGAATTCAGGAATTTATTGTGGCACTCTCACAATGAACGCTTTATGAAGGAAACTAAATGTTTACTGAAATTTATACTACCAAAACCAAAACAGGCCACTTAGCCTTTTATTCCTAAAGCGGACGAATGAAGTATATATTTTAAGAAAAAGAATTAAAACAGTGTTTTTTTAAAGTAAATCACACCGTATGCACTCATTTAAGCGGCTGCTTTTAAAAATTGTGACTGCATAATGTGTTTACGTTCCCTGAGTGCACACAAACTACTCATAAGTTTCGCGGGAGATTTTTACTTGACAGCTTTTGAATAAAATTTGAAGGTTCAGTAAATATGGTTTTTAACTTTTAGTTTGCCTGCTGTCAAAATAAAAAGATGTTCAATAAATATTCGATATTTTCTATTTGGTGGATAAATGCTAAGTGACAAAAGACATTTGGACGATGTATTTCAAAATTCATTTGGATCATACCCAAAATATGGTATCCTTAAGGCAATTTCTAGCTTTGGAAAGCTGGTAAAACCTTCTATTCAGACTAAATACGAATACGTTATGGAATAACAATGTCCAGTGATAAGAATCATTTCAAAATCTCCAAATGTGTCAACTACAGAACAAACAACAAAAATACCGGTAATGATTGGGGAGGAGAATTGTTGAGGGTGAATGAGCAAGTTTCGAAGAATAGGTACCAGTCCACATTCCCTGAATTAACGATACATAAACGATCTATGGATAACTATGATGATTCCTCAGCAGAAAACAGGTTAACGCTCGATGGAAGTACACTTGATGTGGCTGAGGATTCCGGGAGTAGCTCTTTTTCATCATCGTCTTCTGATATAATGAGCTCTAGTGTGATAGAAGGTAAATGCTGTGAAGAACATCTGTCATTAACAAAGGAAATGGCTGTAAGACTTTTGAAAGAGTACGTCAAAAACCTCAAGGACTTTTCCGCTATGATGAGGGAGAGGCAATCCACAACTGTTAGGGACATTTCCACTTCTCCGATACATTCTCCTACGTTAGACAGTAGTGATAAGCACAACTGTACCAAGAAGAGAGACTTACAGAATATTGACAATACATCTTTTAGGCAAAGACCATCATCTGTCTTTGGGATGAGCAACCTGTACCATAGTGCGTATGTTAATGATCAGCAGTTTCGACCTCATACGCCAACGAGTATAGAAAGTTCTACAGATCGCATTATTGATATACCTCTCGCTTCCACAAAAAAACACTTTTTTCCTGTGTCACGTTTATTGAATGCTGACACTTATTCATACAGGCCAAATATATCTAAAACAATGACCTCAGATAAGTTTTATTCCACGGTGGCGAAGAAACAACCCACATTCACGAATTATGACATAGATTCAGACGATTCTGGTCAACGCACACCTATAAATTCGGAACCGCGTTTACATAATCCAGTTTTACGGTCAGAAAAACAGTGAGTATTTTCTATAAGCACTTAATTTGTTCTGAGTTGCATTAAAAATCCATCAAATGAATGTTGGTTTATTTCGTAGTACAGAACATTTGGTTTTATCATACCTTGTAAGATGTCTTTTAACTATCAGCTGGACATAAACTAGTGAAGTCGTTGTCTTCTAAACGTTTTGCTTTCAGAAACTTGAAACTAAATGCAAGTGAGACAGAAGCCTAAAGTGAGCCTTTAGCGGTGAGATTACAGAGTGACTGTTTCAGTGACTACGTAAGGGAATGCTTACTGAGCTCATATTTTGCATTTCAAGGCCTAAATTATTGACTAGTTGTTTACGTGCGAGAAGTTGGAACCAGTTAAAGTTGTGAGGCTGAAAATGTAGCATTTAGGACCTGGTGCTGCTTGCTCAGTAACAATTTCAAAGGTCTGAATATCTATCAGCTTGCATCTTGTCGATGCAAAGGGTAATGTGATAGACGACTAGCTATATATCTTGCAGCTAATATTCAGCTATGTATCACCAGACGTTTGGTTGGTAAATGTTAGATATTTGGTATTCCCACATGAGTTTCCAAGTAGTTAACACTGTGATGTTGAGGTTACAATAATTTTGTTGCCCTTTGTTCACAATGCATATCACCACCCTATTCCTTCTCTCACATATAATTTTCATGACAAGATTTGCAGCACCTGAAAGTGTAGTTTCAAAATTAGCTACGCAACTTCAAAGTCTTAGTTGCGTTAAATTTCATCCTTTTTTTCTCAAGTAGTCTACTGTTTGCTATGTTTTTTGAATAATGTGTTTAATTATTCATAAAGTACTAACTAATTATGCATCTTTAAGCCACTCGCAGCAGAGTTCGACCTCAGCGTTTCTTCAGATTGTAAACTTGAAACTCTGAAGATGATTGTATGCCAAACAACAGTCAAAAATGAGATAACTTGTCAGTCGGCATTGGTTTTAAATAATTCTGAAGTATGTACAAGCACGTTTGCTTGTGATGGGTAACATATAATCAGATTATCACTTTGTCAGCTCACAAAACTTTTTCGCTTGTCTTCACAACCACTCCAAACTAATTATTTACGCCTTTTAATTACCTTAGTTACAAAGTTGGTTGTTCCAGGTTTTGAATGGAGTGATCAAGTTATTCTTCGTTTAGGTTTAACTGGTATGTGCTCATGATTACCACTGTCAACGAAACTGCTTGAATGGATTACAGTGAGCAGACTGGCATTTATATACCTAGAAATGACGATAAAATAAGAATTCAGCAAAAGACTTGAAGGCCAACATAGAAGTACTAAGGCTTTTGGGTTGTTAAAAAGTAGGCAAATTTTATGTAGATTGAAAACACCTTAAAACTGAGTGGTTACCTAATTCTGTGGTAAAAGGTACTTCCCCACATTCACAGCTTGACAAAATTTGTGATAAACACCTGCGGATCATAGTTCCAGTAGTTATTCATGTGGTTCTGGCGTCTTATTTCATGTATAGTTGTGCTACTAATTACAACTTAGCTTAATTAATAGTGTTTTTGGATTACCTAAACCTATGGGTGTCAGATAGTTGAGATGTTGCTGTTGACTTAGAATTAAACAATTTGATTAGTTTGTCTCGTCTAAAAGAGCAGCTAAATATTTCGCACACTAAAGCCCCAAGTATATTCATGAATAAAATATTGTCAAGCTAATTGAACAGAGGCTTTAATGTTTGTCAAAGTTAGAGGTTTATCTCATAAAATTAGACTGTAAAGTAACTTAAAATTAGATAGATTCATTCAAAGTATAGCAAAACTTGTGAATGAGTCAGTTTTGGTACAGTGGAATATGGGAAAGTATGGGATTCTTGTGACCATCTTCATGGCTAAATTTAGTTGTATTCGTATCAGATTATAGAAAAAATTGGATCCGCACAGGTGACCTTATAGTTGTTAAATAAGCAGAACTGTAAACACCATCTAGAGGCTAAAAGTAAGGCTTAGAAATAGGAATGAGTATTTTGTCTGTCTAGAAAGGTAAAATATAGCAAGAATAATTTATTGTTACTTTAGTAAAATCTCTAAAATCACAAAAGGACTTACAAGAAGGTAAATCAACAGCAGTATCTATTTGCTCGTTAGACTGGTGTACTGCATATTGAACATTAACCTTTCAAACTACTTAAGGTGAAACCGATAGGCCTCTGAACTTCCCCTTTCCGCCAGATAGAACAGATTATGGATGGTTGTATCCAAAGCTTATACGGAATCAAAGTGGCTCTATGTCCAATTAGGAAAACTGTAACTGGGATTTTGTAAATGTCCTCACTAATCTACTTTTTTGCCAGTGTGGATAAACTGTAATGCCTGTGTTTTAAATGTTTTTAGTTATCAGCTTGAAAAGGATTGTGGATTTCCAGTTCCAATACTTTTGTCTACTCAACCACTTTTGCAGACGACAGATAATGAGGAAGCTTTTGGGGTTCTTAAGCAACATAGTCAAGAAAAATCAGGGAAAATAACTATGTTACCACCCCAGCCAGAGATAATAAGAAGCGAAAGTAAGTTGTGGTTTCTATGATTTTCTAGTAAAATTTTTCTTATGGTATATATATAAAGTAAATTTCTCTCGCAAAAACGTGCAAGTATAATTGATAAGTGAACCGGGGAAACTTTCCGCAGGAAATTCTATGGGTTTCACAACTCTAGTTTAGTCGAAAAATTACGTTCGAGTGAACTACCTTCAGTTTAGCGATTTCAACAGATGAATATCTGTTTTTTCACAAACTGAATAACCTTAGTTTCCTTCCACTTTCCTTATCTTAAATTTCGTATACAGACCTCAATGGATCTGTTATTATTGAATTTTTATCGTTAAGATTAGGTTCGAGACAAAAACATGTCTTTGTTCATGAGTAGACAGAAACTGATAGTCAGAAGTGTAGTGTATATGGAAATCGAAGTAGACATGTTGGGATTGGAAAAAAATTGTTAAAGCAGACGGCAGCCGCTGCTTGAAAACTGAGGCATTAGTGAGACATGTAAAATAAGTTTGATGAAACGAGAGTATCACATTAAGGGACTTATTATATCGAGCTGGACAAGATTATTCTTTGTGAACTTTTGATATTGAATTAATGGTAGCGAAACGGTTACGTCTTATCAGAAGTCACATAAGCTGTAATAAAAACCGCTTTGTTCAAGCAGGATGATAGCACTTGGTGAGAATACTTCATCCGTGAGCAGTTAGCATGTATACAAAATATGAGACGATTTGTTGCAAATTCGAGAGCAATTTGATTTTTCGTTTAGATGAAAGTATTTCAGAATATGTTACACACAGAAGCAATATGCGTTTGTTTAGACGATAGGCCTATATATAGAATTTATGCTAGAAAATCAAATTAGGTGATATATTTTGCTATTATTACTATAAGATGAGTGTAAATACAAGGATTAATTCAATAGTATTATAGCTCACTTTGGTTTAACTTGGTATAGGTACAACCAATGATACTTTCAATGCATTCAGAGTGTATGTATGCTCACATCTATCTCTGAAACTAGTTCGTTCGTTTGAATATCCCCTATTCTCTCCAGGAATGAAAGTTATAAGGTGTACATTAGTATTGTTTATATCTACCTAGAATAAAATTCTATTATCTTTAAAATGACTAGTAGCAAGGTTGTGTAAATTAGATCATAAGTTGCATTCATTTCCTGAGACACATTTTCTTTCGCTGCTTTCTTGAAATATAATCCTGTACTCATTTCTTGCTGAGGGACGAAATAGGATTATCTCTAGTTGCATTATTTACTTCGGCAGTTTTCCTAGTCATTAAATGTTTTTTTATGCCACATTACTACTCAGACCAAAAAATGTGCTGCTAATTTTGTTTTCATGTGGTATATTTCTTAGAGAGTGGTGTGTGTAATTTGTTTTCTGACCAGTGAGGGAGCGTGTAAGTGATATCTTTAACATAAGCAACGTGATTGAAATCAACTCTTAGTGGGCTCATGAAGCGACTGATCAAGTGTCATAAAATACTGCTGCCTAAAAGCTATTTGCCATTGTGCAATAGAAGAATTAATCTTGAACAGAATAGTTTGCACGCTTGCTGCGATGTTCAACTTTATTGTAACATTGGCTTCCGTGGCTAGCAGAGGAATCATGGATGTGTGTTTCGTCTCATTTGGGACTCATCAGCCTGGTGTACTTGCAACCCAGTGAGTGATGTTATTCCCACTGAGGCTTGAACTCAGTATCCACCAATTTATTTCAACCCTGTTTAGTAACGTGAAATTATAAGTATTATAACAAATATGATTTTACATGCTATATAATTGAGAACTTGAATAATTTGTATCAAATATAATATAATTTTGTGAATTTGAGGATGATAAAGAAGTATGGATTTTCAGATATTAAAAGTAATTCATTTACTTCTGGAATGAGCATCATACTTTTATTATGAGTAACTAATATATCGAGAACGCAGTTTGCTATGCAAAATACAATCCGCACTACTGATCCAGTTCCTTCCAAGACCTGCGTCCACTTAAGGAAATAGTTAATTAGGTCCATCAAAGTGGATGAGAGCATGACTATAGATCTCCAGTTCGTATTACCTTTTGTAACCCATGGAAAAGACAATACTAAATAATGCACTGAGACAAAAAATAGCAAAACTGAGAAGGCCAAAATAAATAAACGGAAATAAAATCAAAAACTGACGAAATTTATAAGATGGTTATCTGGTATGGTATCAATTAAGAATTGCAAAAAATACAAACGTTAACAAGTATGCTTAAATCGAACGACGATTTCCGTTCATGAATTGGAATAAAGCAAGAAGAACAGTAGTAGAAGAAGTAGCATGCACTCATGAATAGGTGGCAGGGATTGTACACAATATTATCCTAGAATTGGTAAAACCGACGTCATGGTCAAGTAAGAGGGATAAAAGGCCAACAGATTTTCATTATATTGAGTTGTTAGATGAATACAACCCAAAAAGTGAGGATAGGCTTTGAAATAGATCGAAAGAGGAAATGAAAAGTAGAGGAGGTCATTAGGTGATGATAATTTGCAGCTACAAATTTATGCGATTATTATTGCCAGAGTAGAGCGTAATTGACAACAGACTCATTCCAAACAAATGGGTTAGGCTTGAGGTTTTTCATCGCAACTGCTTCAGAAAACTTAGAAATGGTTGGGTTTCAGTTGTTTATTGATCACTCTGAACGATTTTGACACGTTTACTTTGTGTTCAGCACTAAGTAAGTGCCGAACAATTGTACGATTTAAACTCTGTGGACCTTTGAGGCATACATACCATACAGATGGTATGTATTGTATACAGATGAATCGCAGACTGAGTACTGCTTTGAAGAGGATGTATCCAGCTGCCAAAATATTCCAAAGAATTTGAGCCGCAAAGGTCAGCAGAGTTTTAATCGTACAATTGATCGGCACTTACTTAGTGTTGAACACAAAGTAAACGTGTCAAAATCGTTCAGAGTGATCAATAAACAACTGAAACCCAACCATTTCTAAGTTTTCTGAAGCAGTTGCGATGAAAAACCTCAAGCCTAACCCATTTGTTTGGAATGAGTCTGTTGTCAATTACGCTCTACTCTGGCAATAATAATCGCATAAATTTGTAGCTGCAAATTATCATCACCTAATGACCTCCTCTACTTTTCATTTCCTCTTTCGATCTATTTCAAAGCCTATCCTCACTTTTTGGGTTGTATTCATCTAACAACTCAATATAATGAAAATCTGTTGGCCTTTTATCCCTCTTACTTGACCATGACGTCGGTTTTACCAATTCTAGGATAATACTGTGTACAATCCCTACCACCTATTTTTACTACCTCCTCTAGAATGTTCATTGTATCACTGTATCATTAGTTAACCTTTGAGCAGTCCCAACAACATCAAGCATTTGTCGATTCCGGTCAACTCAAATCTCTGCTACCTTCCAAATCAATCGAAACATTCTTATCGGTTTATGAAAAAGCATTGCATAAGATGTTTTTTATCATAAACGTTATATTCCATAGGTTGTAAAGCAGCTGAGGAGAATCCATGAATTATAAGCATGCTACTTCTGCTACTACTGTTCTTATTACTTCCCTTAAATATAATTGGTTAACAAACGCATGCGTCCCTAATTGATAGCTTGGTTATGTTGATGTACGACTTTCATTGCAGCTATGTCTGACTAATTTGTTTAAGATCTGAGAATTCACCGCCGGGATATTAGTTGTCCTTCATTAAAAATAATCAAACCAAATTATTATTTTTTTTCTTTTTGCACTACATAGGACTACACAAACCCAATATTTTAATTTTGGAGGACAAACCAGATCAGGAGTTTAGTAACAACGAAATGCAAGCTGAGGTAAGTGATTATTCTTAGAAACAATTCTGGCGACAATTCAGAGCAAATTTGACATAGAATACCGTTCACTTAACCATTCGTTTCTGCCTTTTTTTTTACAGTAGTTAGAAATTCAAGTTAGGCGAATGTTGAGTTATCAGGTTAAATCTAGTTGCTCAAGAAAAGTGAAAAACAACAGTTTCATGAGTCCCATAACCAAATGAAAATAAAGAAAAGTGATAACCCATTGTGATCAGTGGTGTCATTATTCAGAATACTCTTCAGTTTACCAAGAACCTGCACACAAAACGTGAATATTTTGTTCACAGGACGCTCGAACATTCCAACTATTCAATTTTTGAGGATAGTCTCAAGAGATATATGTAACCCCGTATAGCTACACCTTTCACCAGTACAGATTAAACCAGATGGGCGATAAATATCTACGTAAAGATGTTTCTATGACTTTGTGTTTTTGAAGGCTGAATACTGAGGCGATAATTCTGGAGTCAGAGTAAACAGTATTTCCGAAACTCACAAAGACTGCGTAATGTTGATGACACAAATTGCACTGAGGGAGGAAATGGAAGATGGGTTCATCTTCATTGCACAAAGAAGGATAAAATAATGACTAAACTTCATTTCCAAGTTTCGTTATAATCAGGAAGTAATGTGAATCCTCATAAACTGAAGTGTGCCGTAACTATCATACTCTCAGCTACCTAATAAGAAACTCAACGTAATCAGTGAGTGTCAAAAACTCAGTTAATCATCAAAAAACTGAGAAAATCGGGGGACTCCTTGGGAAATTAATCAAGGTCAATTGATATCTTGTTAGTTTCATCCAAAAACAGATACCCAAGTAGAAAAAAACATGTCAAGAAAAGAAAAACTTCGCCACATAGCCCAATTCATGTTGATAGCTTTCGCCATTGTTTACGAGTATATAGTTATCCTTCATTTACAACTTTTAATTTATTTTACTAGCAATCTTTAGAGGTCGAAGAACTCGATCCGATATAGCAGCGGGAAGTTACAAGTATCAACAAACAACAACTAATACCCTTTACATAAGTGGTGGCTGTCGTGCCTCGGTGGCTTAGTCGATAACGCTTTGGCATTTGAAATGATGGTTACTGAGTTCGAGTCCCCGTGAGAGTAGCGTAACTCACTGTGGTCCAGATGAAAAATCTCAAATAGGAGGAAATATTTGTCCTAGATCCCACTGCTAGCCACCATATGGACTATGACATTATGTTTACATTCTTCTGAGAAAAAATCCCTCTTTAAAGCAGAAAATTAAATCTTAATGGGGGGGCTTCAAATGACATCATTCACAAGCTAGAACCCAGTTGACTACTAACCTAAAGCTAGGACAATTAGTGGGATGCTAGCTAGTTATCAAACTGAAGAATGAAGAACACTTGTAACCTTAACGACTTATTCTGTCGAATATTACTATTCATATTCAGATGGCAGAATTTTTCCAATGGGGTTGTTTGAAACCCGGCTGCTTCTTCCAGTCGACTTTGGTGTGTCATACAAATAACCTAGATCACCACACAGTAGACTTTGTAAACAATAAGTCACTCTCAAAAAGACAAAAGAGAGGACCTAATTTATACAATTGGTAACGAGTTCTGATACATTTACTATACTGGTTAAGTCAGTCACTACATAACTCGAAACTGTATAGACATCAGTTGTTAGTAGTACTAGGAGAGGACATATTATAAATGACCCCAACACGTCAACAGGCATAATCACAACTTTAAATGAAATAACGAGGGAATCACACAATATGTAAAGATAAGAAACATGAGAAAACCTTTGGAAGTGTGTTGTTATAGCGGTGAAAAGGTTTTAAATATGTACTTGATCATAGAGGAGACTAACTGTAAACTTAGAAAGAAATCTTTTACTGAACAACTCGAAATGGATCAGTCAAGTAAATGGTAGAGTCCTAATTTTGCAGCATAATTACATCAATAGTACCACCTTCCTCAATGTAGCCCAAATATTTGCTGTAGAACATCACAACAGAATTACTTTGAAGCTGAAGACCATGATCTTCAATGCTGGCGTGTATCCTTTGAACATAAGGATGAAAGTGAAAAGTTTCTACTTCTTGTGAAGTTATTGTGATTAATTCATCTGGCCTGGGGACTAGACGAGTTCTGTCAGATGCTTTAGCTTTAAGAACGCCGAACAATGATCAGAATGTAGTTTGTCCATTGTCTAATAACATCCTATGGCATCCTTTATTTAAAATGTTATCTATCAAATCAGAAGCTTGTTGGTTCCTATCAAAAGTAACAATTGACAAAAGCTGCATGGTATAATAATATAGTTGTATTTAGGGACATCTAAGGTTACAGAGTATAATTAAAGATTTAAGAAATGAAAATCCGGTAAATCCACTGAAAATGGAGATCACTTATAGCAGAAAAGAGTTTAATTGCATGGACTTGAATATTTTTACAAATTTAGTAATGAAATTAACCACGTTCATTCATCCTTCACCTACTGTCTTGAGAAAGTGAATATGTTTACACTTGGCAGTATATAACGAAGGAATATATTTATAAAATGAAGCTTGCTTGAAAGAACTGAGACTTGAATGGGATAAAATCTAAAGGTTTTCAGAAAAATACTGATGAGTAGCTGTTTTTAAGTTAGTACACAATTTAGAAGGACTGGAAAGGGGTACTTTGATGTTTGTCATTGAGAAGGAAGCGTCTTACTAGGTATTGCTGGAGTGTTGGCTGTCATTTTGATCCTTTTAACAGATATCGCCTGAGAATGTTTTACATGAGCTACAAATCAAACTAACTTAAAATAAATGGTCATTTAGGTAAAGACTTGCAACCACTACTAAGTAAGAAATCAGGTTTAATTGCACATGACGCTAGCTTTGGTTTCGCAAACGTGTTCTCATGTCAAGCAAAAGATCTATCAGAGTGAATTATTTAATACTTATCTAACGGCCAGATTTTATCGACAGTGATTCAGTTTTTGAAGCAAGTGGTGTGGGGTGATTTCTGATTTTGGTCATAACCATAATATTTATTACTTTTTTACACACGGGTTAAATTCTTTTCCTTGATTTAATCTTTTCCCGCTAACTTACATAGACAACTCTTTGGTCACCCAAAAATTCAACTCATGTGCGCGCATCTTCTGATACCTCAAAAATCGATAGTTTGAGAAGAAAATCACCTAGTCCATCTTACCCAAGTCCAAATATTTCTTCAGAAAATTCGGTACGACCGAGTCCACCTATACCAACTTATCATTCTAGTCCTACACCACAAATGAAGCTATACCACTCTGGAACACTAAGGTCAAGTTCTGTACACAGAATGCCATCAAACTCACAGACAGAAACTTTGTGGATAAGCAGTTCGAATGATATACAACAAAATAAATCGCACAGGAGTTTGGTTAAAAGTTTATCGGGCACACCTTTAAGTGGAATATCAAGTAACTTGGATTCTGTTTCACCTGATATTGCTTCTTCATTTTCACAAGTCGGTCATTCTGATGATTCTATTAATCATTTGACAGTTAATTCAAAGCAAACGACAAGAAATGAAGGTAACAAACCTAGTCCTAATGACAGCAGGAGTGTCTTGAAAGTGAGTTATTTACATGCTATTAAAAGTAGGATAATTTTTCGTGCAAAATATCTAAGAATAATGGTAGGAAACTAACTAGGATGAGAATCACATATTAATAGAGATCAGTGAGGCAATTTAATTCTTACATAACACTTTCATTTATTTCACTGAAAACTTATTTTGATTGCTAGGGGACAGCTATTTCCCACTAAAATGGTTAATTATCAGTTGTATATCTTCTAGAGTTGTTTCAGCGATTTAAGTTCACTAATGCAACCACTCAGAATGATACACTTGCCACTAGAGCAAACAAGTAACGACTGTAACCTTTTTGAATGGGTAATTCCGAGCATGGTTGTTTGCTGATTTTATAGAGAGTTCCCTCGCGTTTGTTACAATGTGTAAAGATATCCTTCCGATGTAGTCATTATAGAGAGGGGAACTAGGCAACAGTGATTGGCAAAAGCACTCTACACTGATTTAGAACGTTTTAAAAATAATTTGTAAATTGACACTAGTCTCTGTTGTTTTTAGGAATCAGAACAGTAAATAAAAAAAACGTTTGCCACGTAGTAGAAGATATTGTGCAAAAATCACGTAATATATTTCAGATGGAATACATCCATTTTATCATAGGAAAAGAAAAGACGTGGCTTAAGTGAAGAAAAGTTTTTCTTTTCGACGAAGTCAGTTACTAAGCTGTACATTCATGAATACATGTTATAATGAGCAGAACGTTCCAGAATTATTTTCGGTTAGGGAACAAATTATAGTGAGTAGCTAGAAGAAGTTAATTGATACACAATTGCGTTTAAAGTGGGGAAATAGACAAGGGATTATAAAATTAAATGTAATTACATAATACAGGATGAATGCATGGTGAGGTAGGAAACTGAACGAAGGGTTATGAAAATAAAATTGCGATTGTGTTATATCGGATAAATCTATGACGGAGTAGGAAAATAAACAGGGGATTATGAAAATAAGATTGTAGTTACGTAGTGCAGGTTAAATCTATGACAGAGTAAGAAAATGAACATGGTGTGAAGGAAATACATGTGTAGTTATGTGATGCAAAATGAATCTATAACAGACGGGGGTTTATGATGACCATGGAAAAGATAAAGGTTAGACGTAACTTTTTTGGACGCATAACGCTTGTTTGAACTCCTGATCCCACACTTGACAGAGAACTGTAAATACTTCGACGAACTCTAGCGGAAATCGGTTTCCCGCTCAGATACGTAGATAAGAACATAAAGCAAAAAAAGCCGTCTGAACAAAGACATTTGGTGCCAAAAAATTCTTTTGTTGAACACTGAATTCAAAAATGATATTGCTGCAGAAATCCTGAGAAAATGACTGTCGAAATCCTTTAACAGAAAATGCTTCACCCCCAAACTTCGAATTATTTTCTTCTACAAGAAACGTTTTCGTCAATGTGTAAAAGACAAGCTGACACATTGGACCACATCAATGTGTGTTTACCAGTTTACTTGCTCTTATGGAGCTGAGTACACCGGTCGTACCAAGCATTCGCTTGTAAAACGTGTCCCCGAACAATACCCAGCCTGGCTTGCAAAGGGAGAACGGAAATGTATCTTCACCTCCATAACAGAATACCTCGTGAACTCAGGCCACTTAGGTCCTTTCGAGAGCTCATTCAAAATTCTCCGCAAGGTTCGATAAGACCACTTGAAGGGAGTAGGATCAAGGCATTAGTCTATAGCTGAAGCACTAGGGATTAGGAGATCAAACAAGCGTTATGCGTCCAAAAAAGTTACGTCTAACCTTTATCTTTTCCATGGTCATCATAAACCCCCGTCTGTTATAGATTCATTTTGCATCACATAACTACACATGTATTTCCTTCACACCATGTTCATTTTCTTACTCTGTCATAGATTTAACCTGCACTACGTAACTACAATCTTATTTTCATAATCCCCTGTTTATTTTCCTACTCTGTCATAGATTTATCTGATATAACACAATCGCAATTTTATTTTCATAACCCTTCGTTCAGTTTCCTACCTCACCATGCATTCATCCTGTATTATGTAATTACATTTAATTTTATAATCCCTTGTCTATTTCCCCACTTTAAACGCAATTGTGTATCAATTAACTTCTTCTAGCTACTCACTATAATTTGTTCCCTAACCGAAAATAATTCTGGAACGTTCTGCTCATTATAACATGTATTCATGAATGTACAGCTTAGTAACTGACTTCGTCGAAAAGAAAAACTTTTCTTCACTTAAGCCACGTCTTGTCTTTTTCAAATGGAATACGAAGGTAGCTGAAAGAAAATGGTAACGTAAATAAATAGGTAAAAGACAGTTATCATCCGTCGCAGTATTATTTGATGAACTGACCCTCAAACTATAACGTCAAATGAGAACTTTGTTGAAAGAAATAAGAGTAAGACAGTAAAACTTGTGAGTACAAATTAATGAAGAAAGCAGATCTTTTATGAGATTCTTGCTACACAGCAGCTATTGATATACGACTGCTTTGAATACGGATTATAAGTCATTTACCTCCATTTTTTTGAGTGGCGAAGTTCATTCACCATTAAGTTAAAGTGTATGCATGTTACAATCGATTTTCAAAATGCTAAACTAGCACAATGCTATATTCAGCTATTCAGCACTGTACTTCAAGGATTATGGAATTAATAACTTTCGTAATCGTTCTTTTCGTGTCACAATGAGTACCAAAAGAACATAAAGAGACCTCTAGAGTTCTAGTTGCACAATAACCCCATTTAGTTAATTTTCATTGTTATTTATATTATTTTTAAACAATAGCAGATGATATAATGTTGCTTGTATTATCCTGTCGTCAATCGGACCGAGTTGATTGGTCGCCGTTGGCATCTAGACTAATATACGGAGGCCTTGATATTGCTTGTGTTTTCAGTTTTGATACTGTTGACGGAACGTGACCAGTATTCGAACCCAGGATGTGGGTTTCATCCCACTTGAGACTTATCAGCTGGATGCACCTGGGCTTGAACCCAAGACCAGTAGCTTCAGATACTAGGGCGTTGCTCACTAGACTACTGGACCACAATAGCCACTTCTGGTGTGACAAGTGTAACGAGTCTAGTGTGAACAACATCACTCACTAGGAGGCAGGGACGTGCAGTTGACGAATGCCGAATCGGATGAAACGCGCCTCTCGGAATCCACTGCTTGCCACTATCCATCATTAACATCAAAATAGCAGATAATGTTAAAAACGTCCACTTTTATTATGCAACACATTATTGCACACTGTATCCTAATGATTTTAAAACTATGGAAAACCCAATGGTCGAAAATATCATGTGATTAATGCGTGTGTAGTAGAAAGAAAGACATTGTGCAGTTTTGCCACCTATCGATTCCAGATAACTAATGAAACACTTGACAAAAGCATCAAAAAGAACCATATTGAATGTGGAACACGTGAATGTGGAATGCGGAGATGTGTAAGACAGAATTAGATGATGGATGTGTATTGATCATCAAAAAATTTCATTTAAATTGCTGATTGTAGTGTAATATAAAGGATTACAGTTTAAATAAACTGAGATATTTATTCTCCCTGGCTGTTGTCTTAAGTCCCCAGAAATATCCTTTCAACTCAATAACTGATATCTTACAACTTACTGCACATTTCTGTATCAGGTTATACGTTGATTTGTTTATTTGCACTGCGTATAAAAGAGATGAATTATTAACACTTGTGAAACTGGTATCCATGAAATATGTCAAGATGAAGCAGGAGTGTGGATTACAGGAGAGACAGATCTATAACTTATTTTAGAAAATTGAAACATGTTACGGTACTATTCATGCAAAATGAATAGCTGAACTTTAAGTTCATAAACTCCCTGAAGACCTAAATATGCGAACGAAGCATGAATGAGCTTGGATAACAAGATAGCTGACAATGAGACCTAATATATTTTGAAGTTGAAAATCATCTCCAGTCTGTCTGTGAAGTGTTTAAACTAACAAAAAGTCAACCATATACTCCCTTCAAACGTTTTTGCAGTAGTTTTGCACGAAGTTGTTTTTCACCATTCACTGATTTCATGGATGCTTGAGTTAATTAATATTCTCATTCAGTAAAGTCACAGTCAACAAAATATTTAGGTCAAGTTTAGAGTGAACTTGTAGTTTTTGAATCATCAGCACAGCAACCGAATACAGACTAGCTTCAAAGCACGACTGTTAATAACACACAAGTGTATATGTAACAACCAGTGACTTTATCCAGTTATCGTGAAGAAAGTGGATACGTTGTTCACTGATATCAGTTACACTGGATATCTAGACAAGTCTGTTGTATCAACCTGAATCGATCTTAAGTATTTTAGTGTAGTTAGCAATATTCGTTTTCTGCAGAATTAGACTTTGAGAATAAAAGATCAAATAGATGTCTTAAAAAATCTTTAACCCTTCGCATCCCAAAATATTGGCAAGTGTTACAACGAAAATTTATAAATTTCAATCGTGCAAACTCTTGAAATGCTAGTAGCATTCACTGAAAAAGCTGCGCAGACTATTTCAGAATGAAAGATGTGTATTCAAGTCAGCAAAAGTTAGGAGAGTTCATTCAAAAAGGAATGACGGTGTTCAGAGGAATACATGATAGAAGTTTGTAAAGCTACTGATTGCTGATTTTGGTTGTCCATGAGTGTGTGTGAGACCTGTCTAGGATCCCTTATGTATCAGGAACCAGTAGTTTGACGAAATAATTTAGGTTACTCAGATTCGACTAAGCTGATCAGATGTATTTGATTTTATTCTCCTTGACATTTTACCTGTATTGATTAGTAAATTTTATAACTTTTAATTCAGTTGAATACCTTTCTCCAGTTGCTGGCTTCCCATTTTCTTACTGTTATGAATCCTCACAACTTGATAAGTTACACTTTTATGTTACTTTCTTATTATCATGGATTTTCAACTTTACCTGAGCTAACCTCACCAATTAATCGATTTCCACTTCTTTATGATGTC